GTGCTTTGCAAGGAAATATAACCCACTCCCACCTTAAACTGACACACTGACAAACTGTGGTACTTTGAACATTACAGTGCCAGAGGATCGTGCATTCGTCCTGTCATTATTAACAGCACGCTGATGGTAAATTGGGCTCAGACTTGGAGTTGAGACTTGCTTTCCAGGAAGAGGCTGCAATACCACAAATAAGACAGAGACAGACCATCTGTGACCAATCAAAGCAAGGATGGCAGGTGAGTTTGGTACCCCTAAGCACCTGTCAGCTCCAAACCACAGACCATAAGGGAAAAGGCAATTGCAAAATAAATACATTGCACCCTCAGCTGAGGGACTGAAACATCAATGTCTTAAGGATACTCCTGAACATTATTACTGGTGCAGAAGCAACAGAACATCTCATCTGTCCAAGAAGAATCACCTCCAGAGGCAGAGAGAAACCAGCATATGAGTTGATAATTAGTTTCCTAACCCAAAACTTCGCAATGCAGCTGATCCCTTTGGAGAGAAAACATACAGGAGATTGGAGTGCAGTACCAGCATTTTTATGTGCTCTTGCCTTTTTCATTTCTTATTTGTTCCACTACAGAACTACAGTATGGGTTCAATATCTAAAAAGTCTGCTTGGCTATCTCCTGTTTTTGATGTTCTTTTACTGGCTAGCTGCATTGTCAGAGATGTCTATAACATCGGACTTGAAAATATTAACTAGGTCTCTCTGTAATATAATGAGCGCATCTGCTACCAGAATGACAATTTCAATGGCAAGTTGGTAAATAAATCAGATTAATTACCTACTTTAGGAGTTTTCTGCCCCATCAACAGATGCCATTACTGTTGCAAAGGAAGAATAACTATGTCCCAGTCATTGATAATTTGTTCTAGCACAGATATGCAAATTATTATTACTCATTTCCTCCCCAGAAAAATCACCTCAGAAAAGCTTTGTTATGGCCTATTCATAAGTAGTTTAAACAATAATGTTATTACTGTTAAGAATATTCTCAGGAATGTAAAACTGTCATCCTGGAAAAATGAAAAGCCTCAGCAATTGTTCGCATGTTTCCAATACAGGTAAAATGACAGGAAAATGAAAATATCAAGACTAAATTTCTTTTGATATTGTGATCAGTTTTAGGGAGGAAATATGAATGCACTGGAATTGAGAGAGTAAAATGAGTTTCTTGTATTGCACCATCCAAAAAACATTAATTATCCTGGCAGTCATCCTCAAGTTTCCTACAAGCTACATATTTTGCACACAGAGTTAAACAGACTGAGGTTACAAATGCATTTTGATTCTGCCTATGTAGCCTGGGAGAGGAATTTTCCACTTTATACTGCTGAGAAAAACGGGAGAGGCTGTAGGCTACAGTGTCTTGTTCAGAGGAATGAGGTGGGAAGGATAGGGCATTAGGCACTATTATACTCTAGGGAAGAAAGAGCAGACAGGGGCACAATGGAAGCACTTCATTATATTTTAAATGGGAATAGTTCCAAGGATAGGAAAGCCTGTGGTGCTTGTAAAGGATTAAGCAGGGTAATGTGCTTTTTAAGAAGACATAAAGAGGTATGTAATGTGATATGTTTAAGCCTAAATGATTTTCTTGGAGTCCTCAATGAATGTTTAAGCAGGCATGACTTAGGCCTTGGTAAATCCCCTCTGAATAAATAACTTCCCTGAAAATCGAGATTCCTTTGACGGAACGGGATGTATATTTCATAACCTATGCAAAAAAAAAAGGGAAATCAATTTGAGATACATGAAATACTTAGGAATAATAAAGGAAAAAAATAAAAGGAGACAAAAGTGACTATTCTGGAATAATCCAAGCATATACAGGAATACAGATAACTCTCCAACTGTTTTGATTTCACAAAGCAGGAAGGCCAACAGCTGAATGCTTCTCTTGCTCTGATATAGATCTTCAACTGCTTTTTGTTTTCCTTTGAGAAAAGAAGAGACAATAACCTACAGAAATCAGAAAAGTGCCTGTACTCTTCAGGCTTTCTCCAGTTTGAGGTATTCAAAACTGCTGTCCTTTCAAGGTAAATCCAACCAGCTGCTGTCTAACAGGACCTGATATACATGTGTAAACTGCTGTTCACGTGGATGCTCAATGATGTGTATGCATTTCATTTATGAGGACAGAAGCAATATATATCAAACATCAGAAACTTAAATTAGCACAATTTTCCCATCCTTTTTTTCTTCCCTGCCTTACCCTCCCACCAGGAAAAACAAGTCAATGCTGCAGACATTCCGTTGCAAAATGGGATTGTATAATCATTGTCATTGGGCTACAACTTGCTCTCACTTGCACAGGTGACTACAACTTGCTCTCACAGGCACCAACTTCTCCATGAAGTCTCTGGCCCAGCAAATGCACCTTCTTGCTGAGCAAGAAATAATACACTGAATACATCAGCATTTGATCCCCCTCCTCCTGTTTAAAGATACATTCTACTGCTACTTTCCTCCAAATATTTGAAGAACAGAAATGAGATAAAACAGTGGGATTTGAAGATATTAAAAAAATGCTTGGTTAAGCCTTTTCAATATCCTGATGCCTGACTGTCTAAACATGTCATCTTGTGATGGGTACTTGCAAACTCTGTTCACTTCAGAGAGAGTGCAGCAGGGCCTGGACATCCCACTGTTATGCAATGCTTTCATATTGGTTAACAAAGCACAAAGGGACACCCAGTGGTTCGTTTTGTCCAGAACTATAATCTGGTTGTGTTAGTGGCCCCAGTGCAGCCTGTTAAATTCATTCGAAGCTCCAAAAAGCATTACAAAGTATATATACAAGCAGAGAGGACCCACCGATTCCTTCCTATAAAATGTTGTCTTTCAAGCTATTCCACAGATCATAGTCCCTGCCTTTCATCAATTAACTTTTGTAAAGGATACCACCCATAAAGCTGGTCAAGCACTGGAACAGGCTTCCTAGGGAGATGGTTGATGCCCCATGCCTGGCAGCATTTGAGAGTCACTTGTATAATGCCTTCAGTAACACAGTTTTAACTGTTGGTTAGCCCTGAAGAGGATGGGTAGTTGCACTAGGTAATCTTTCAAAGTCCCTTTCAACCTAACTGTTCCATTCCACTCTACTCTAATTTCCCATGCCTAAGAGAAGCTTTTATCATCACATTCATCTTCCAGCTGAAGGAGAAGTATCTCAAATGATTCCTGAAAGGGACAGCTTCAGTTGTATTTCTTGTGTTTGCTTGTAAATCAACAGAACTTTCTTCCTGAGCAATCCAAATATGATCTCCCAAAAGCTTTCATGTGAACAGCAGTTGGCGGATAACCTTTATCTCTGTTCTTTCTGTAAGGGAAAAGGAGGAGAGAAAATGCACACGCATAGGTGGATATGTATATTCTTTGGAATCAAGCCCTTAGGTATTTTAAAATTGGAGTGTGTCTGGCTTGCTCACATACTGCAGTTTGGTTGTTTGACATCACTTGCAAGTGTTTATTCTTGGGAAGCAGAAAAATGGGAACCCAACAAAACCCAGACAGTTTTGATGGTGTAGGTTTTAAGACAGCAACTGCCACATTTCCAGGAATTAGAAATCAAAGATTATAATCCAGAATTACTTTCCAGTATGACACATCTGTTGTTTTTCCAGGTAAAAGCAATTTGTCAACACACTGCTGACTGTATTGAGTGCTATGCTAAGTGTGCTCTGGTTTTTGATTCTCCTGAACCCTCCAGTGTAATCTGGGAAGGAAACCAGGAAGTTCTTATAATACAAGAGGAAAACCCTATCTCTACCAGTTCTTTGTAAACTGAGCTAAAATGTGTATTCTTAAAAAAAAAAAAAAAAAGCAATTTTATCCAGCCAACAAATCTTCAGACTGTTGTCTTTTTTTTTTCTTGTTTTCTCAGCTTACGCCTTTTTCTAAAGGAGTTTCAAAAGCGCAACTCCCCACTCACTCATATCATTTTGTCCTTCACACCAGAAAATATGATACCAGTTATACAGAGTGAACTAATGATTGTTAAAACTCCAAACCACCTTTGTTCCTTTGTGGTTCCTTTATTACCAAGAGATAAACAGTGTTTCAATCATTCTTTTGAACATAGCATTTCCTTTTGAGTGTTTGTGTTGTGTCAAAACACAGAAATTACATGTTGCCCTGGCAAATGGATTCCAGTGAAAATGAAACACGGGGTTTGCTCCTGTTTTTAGAAGTCTTTAAATCAAACTTTAGATAAAGTACAACTTCATGGATATTTGTCCTGAATAATCAACACATTTTCAAATTTAAAATAAAATCTGCAAAACACAGTATTGACAAGTTTGATTTTAAAACTTAATGGGAAGACATAATGGTAGGGATAAAAGTTTATACTTTGACACCCATTAACCACTATTCACTTACACTGACCTGCTTCATGAACTACTGTTCTTATAAATGCCCTAGCTGTTAATTGAAAGCAAGGGAGGGAAACGTTACATTCACCAATGTTCCCACAAAGATTGACTCAAATTATGTTTCCTCAGTTAAAAGCATTATAAAATTTGTTGATCATTTTGTTCTACCCTCCTCTCTTGAAACATACGCGATTCAGACTTAACAGAAAATCAAGATTTTCAGTGTTGGAAGCGTACAGAAGTTAATCAATGTCTTGTATCAAAAGTGCTTTGAACTTTGTACAGTACATTGCCATGCATCTTCTGGCATTAGCAGTCCAGTGATCCTATACTCATTTTGCATCCTGACAAATGCTTTCATCTCTCCTACCTATAAATCCTTTTCAGAGCGAACACTCTAAGTACTTACATTTTAAAACTTAGTTGAAAACAAGTTACCTCACTGAGAAGTCCAAATCCTCTAGGCTGATACAATGGGCTTGCAAAAATTGGTACAGGGCATAATCATTATCTGGATGCCAGTTCACCCCTAACAGTTAAAAGCAACAACTAAGCAAACCTGGTGTTTACAAGTGAGTCTCCAAATGAAAAGAAGAAGCAAGTCACAACAATACCTTCTGAATGCCTGCAGTCGACTCCAAGACATTGTTCTCTGAACCGTTACTTCTGTTAATCATCCGCCACATTTGGGAATACATGCTGTCCCTCTCAAAAGGATTCATCCCTTTCACTCGAACGTGTTCATAGACTGCAGAGTCCAAGACAGTGCCATAAGGAATATCCGTCTGCCTTGAGAGATCCTGGAGAGACCTTAATTGTTGGTACAGAAAAGAAACATAGGAGACTTAAAGCTACGTTTTCAACAGAAAGATACTGCAGGCAAGAAAAAGGCAATGTATAAAAAAAATGGCTGTGAAGCCAGTTTCTTTCTTTTTCTTTTTTTTTTTTTTAAAGACGACCTGAGTCTGAGCATTTTTGTGCTTTAAAAATACAAAAAGGAATATGAAATGAAAGGAAGGGGTGGAAAAAATGAAAATGAGTGAAAAGAGAACAACAGGGGCAAAGGGGAGAAAGAAGTGTTGCAGTCTCTCCAGCCAAACGTAGCAGATTAACTGTGTTAAATTCTCTTAACGGCTACACTCACCAAAAACAGCTTTCTGAGCTACCAGTTCATGTGGCAAAGAAGAGCTTTTTGGTGCAATTCCTGTGCTGAACAATGCACCCGCCACACAGAGCAGATTGCATCCTATACAATTTTCAGCAATGAGATGATTTCTCCTACAGTTTCATGAAATGCCTCTCTATTGTGGTTCACGTTACTCTGATAGATTTGCACTACTTTACATATTATGTAGTCTCATTTTTTCCCTACAAACAGAAAAATATTAACCAGTTTAGAAGCTTCTAAAACACCTCAAATACAACTTTGTCAACCTTGCTTTGCACTTTATATATCTTTACAGTCTTTTATCTATCTATCTATCTATCTATATATATATATATATATATATTTATATATCTTTACAGTCTTTTAAGTCTCCTTACCTCCTGGCCTTTATTTTTCTGTCGTACAGAATTACTCTCCCATACCTTTGTTTCTTAAATGGCATTTCAAAATAACTATTACAGTACAATCTAGTGCCTAAAATCCATTACAGCTTTCCTGGTACAAACTAACTTTGTATAAACTGCACAAATCTAATGGATGACACCTAAAGACAAATCAAGGATGTGAGTGCTGTCTTAAAGCAAGTTATAGCAAATTGTAAAAGCTCTTTGCAGATGCAGAAAATGCAAAGTCAATGGTAGGAAATTCATTAAAATCCAAGATGCATTTTTGAAACAAGTAAATTCAGAGGCTAGAAAAAGGATATTGCATAGGAGAAAAAATATGAATTCTTAAGTGTCCCAGAAATGACACCAAAGACAACACATCTTGAAGGATATGTACACCACTGAGCACAACAGAAAGGAAGAAAAGAAGGAAGAAATCAATAGAGACCAATGGAAAGGTTTTAGAGGTTCGCTGAGTCAAAGAGAAATCCTTTGAAATTCAGATATATAGGCAAAGAAAAGCATTGAACAAGAGGTAAATTCTTAATAGATAACATATAGCAAATATGAGAAAGGGATAAATTAAAAAAATTAAAAATCTATTTAAAAAATCTAAAATCCTCTCCTCTGTCTCCAACAAGAGGGCATTCCTCTTCAAGAACACAAGCAATAGGAAAATGGTAAAGAACCAGTACACGTACAGGATTATCAAATGAGATCAAAACAGCTGTGAGATGAGGCTTTTACTGAAGCTGAGCATATTGGTCTCCTACTACATAACTGAGATTTGCCCTTTTCTGATGAAAAGAAAAAAAAAAAACAAAAATGGGAGACTACAGTAGTCTAATGTGTCAGGAGATTCCTAAATTATTTGCTAGCAGACAAATTTACTCATAAACAAAACACTAGACAAATAGATGAAAACAAAACAAATAAAATTTAAAGATAGTCATTAGGTAGGTTTCTTCAGGGAAAACAACATTCATCTTAAAAATTACTAGAAAAAAATCAAAAGATTTTAAGAGGTCTTCATCAGACAATATAAAGAAGGGGGAAGTATGGACAGGTAAGAAGGAAGGAATTTAGGTAGGGATTGCTTGGGAGCACTTGACATAGAAGTCCATGGGACCTGAGCGGTTTCACAAAGTGCACTGGGAGAGCAGACCTTATTTCTTGCAAGACTGCTCACTATCACCTTAAAAATGCAATTGAGACTGAGGGAGATCCATCCCCCTCATCTTGGAAAAAGGACATAACCAGACCGTCTTCAAAAATGATCAAAAGTGTGATTTAGGGAACTAAGCTCAGCCTTGATTCAATTTCCAACCAACATGGAGTGAGGTTCTCTTGAAGCACGTTTCTAAGCATATGCAGGAAAAAAAGCTGACACAGGTTTACTAGGGCTTACTCAGGCTTAACCAACTGGATTGCTCTCTCCTTTAATAAAATGACTGAGTTTGTGGACAAGACCAGCACAATGGCTGCAAATTACCTTAAGTTTAGCCAGCATTCAGTACTGTCTCCCAAAATATCGTTATATCTAATTTATGTTATTAGGCCTGGCAATGCGGAAAAATCAAATGGCTGAAGGTACAAAGCTAGGAGGAGTGGCTGACAGACTAAAAGGCTGTGCTGCCATTCAGTGAGACCCGGAGGTTGGGAGGAGAGGAACATTAGAAGGTTCTGCAAGGGCAAAAGTAGAATCTCACACCCAGGGAGGAATAATTGCATGCATCGGTACAGGTTAGGGAAAGGAGCTCTGCAGAGAAGGACGTAGTTGTCTGGGTAGCGAACAGGCTGGCCATGAGCCAGCAGTGTGCTTCTGCAACCAATCAGGGCTATTCTGGCATTCACTAAAAGGATCATGGCCAGCAGCAGGATGAGGGAGGTTATCCTCCCTCTCTACTGTACACTGGTGAGGCTGTACATGGAATACCACGTAAAGTACCAGGCTCCTCAGTTCAAGAAATACAAGCAGTTCCTAAGAGAGGCCACTGCCATGGTGACAAAGATGACGAGAGGCTTGGGGCATCTCCCTTATGAGGAATGGCTGTAAGATCTGGGACTGCTCCACCTGGAGAAGAAATAATACCTAAAGGGTGGTGCCATGTGGATGGGGCCAGGCTCTTTTCAGTGGTATCTTGTGACAGGACAAAAGGGGACACAGTAAGTTCTGTATGACATGAGGAAAAACTTATTTTGAGGATGTCAGAGCACTGAATTAGGCTGCTCAGTCTGAGAGTCTGTGGAGTCTCTGGAGATACTCAAGACCCATCTGGATGCTTTCCTGCACAACCTACTTTAGTAGGGAATCTGCATTAGCAGGGGGATTGGGGCTATTCAAGGACCTACAATTCAGTGTTTCTGTGAGTTTCCAACTGGATGATCATGCTCAAATAGTAGTAGTTAGTGGGTTGTATCACACCTGGAATCCAGTTACAAGTATCACAAGTACAAGGGAATGTATCTCTATCAATATCCTGGAAGAGGTGAGGAAGCATCCTGTTACCAGGTTGCGGGCAGCATGACATAGGCACCTCAAGGACAAAGCCTCCATTCTGATGAACCTAGAAAAAACTGGAGGAAGAGGCAAACAGGAACACTGAAATTCAGCAAGAAATGCAAAGCCCTGAACTGTGGTAGGAATAATGTTCTGCAGCAACCCACTCTGGGACGTGGCTGTCTGGGCAACAGCTCTGCAAAAAGGCATTCCAGTAGATAGAAGCATGCCTTGCTGAGAAATACTTAGTTTCACCATTACACAAAGTGTTGTGTAAAAAGAAGGTGCATCACAATTGCATTTATAGGCTACATATCTGTCAAAAGCGTCACTGACAAAAGGCACTAGACTAATGCAAGATGCTATATTCATCCATTCTTTATCAGTGCTGCCGCTGCCAATTTGCTTCTGTATCTCCTGACAGTGCTCAGAAGTGCAACAATCTGTCACAGGATACATATTGTAATGTCTGGTAATTGTTGTGTTATTTGTCATACATATTACTAGAAAAGTACACAGAAAGTATTTATTGAGTCCCCAGTTCCTAACACCACCATCTAGCAAAACTGCAATCATTACTGGACTCTGCATAGCTACATAATATCTACTGTAACAAGCAACAAACGTTTTTCTGAAATATAATTGCTAACAGGTACATAAATGATACATATAACTGCTGCCACAAACAGCACAAAAGGAAAAAGAGCTCCTCTCTATATCTAGCAGCTGTAAAAGCAACCTTAATATTTTCATGTGGGAAAAAATGCTAGACATAAGCAGCTGGTCCAGAGGGGTACTACAGAAAAGCATGGAGGACTTCTCATTTTATCATGGAGAAAGAAGTGAGAGTGCCATCACACCCAAATGGATCACCAGCAGAGAAATGACAAGGATGATTATGTTGACGCCTTCAAGAAGGTGCATCCTAGCTGTCTATTCTGGCATTAACTACAGCCTGCAGCTCTTCACTACTTGGCGTTCTATACTACAACAAAGGATGCCTCTCAACTTCCCTGTTCCTCAGCTTTGCACATTGTAGGCAGTGCTCTACACTGAGAAAATAACAGTAGATAGATGACAGTAAGATGGGTTTAAACTCTACAAATGCGAAAAATACTGAGGCCAGCTGAAAATTCCACTCACTGGTTCACTCAGTCCTATGCTGAGGAGTGAAAAAGGTTTGCAGACTCTGAAATGCCGGTGTGCTCACTGCTGTGCAGACAAGCTGCAGACAGGGAAAAGACTTATCACACCATTGACTACATCCCCTCACACAAACATGCCCAGTGGGATCATAATATGTATGACCTATTTCAGAAAGTGAGTTTTAATAACCAACATCTCCACAGACTTCCACAACGACATTCACAACCTAGCAGCCAAGTTATTGCAAAACAAAGAAAAGCAGCAAACCTTGACAGAACTAGTAAAATTATTAAACCATAGAGGTTCCTTCCTAAGAGAAAGATTTTTCTTTTGCCTCCAGCCTGGTTTGCAGGTTACACATTGCTTGATGTACCTTTATTCCTGGATTAAACAACTCATTCTCTTTTCAGACAACTACACTTAGCGGAGTCAAATGCTAAGTCTCAGTGTGTTACAGCTTGAACACACAATTGCCAGATGAGACCTCAGTAAGGAAAAAATTCTAGTTAAAGTATTGTATTTATTCATACTGATTATTCTCTGATGCAGCATTATCTGCTTCAGCTGAAGATTTAATTTTGCAGTAGTTTTACCGATTTCAGTTCAAACATCTGCAAAGCAAAGTAGATGTAAGATATGTAAGAGTATTATAAGCCCACATTTTAAGAAATTCTCTGTTTGGATTTCTTATTTCAAAGCAGTATGATGCAGAAACTGTCAGGTCATGACCTGATAAAGGGGCATGATCAGCCTTGGGAGCACATGTGCAAGCAATTACCTTGGGCAATGGGAAGGGGTGAATCCAGGATACATTCCTTCCTAACTTCATTTAAGGGCTGGCAACAAAAGGAGAAGCATACCTACTTGGAGGCCGCCTCCTTTCAGATTTCCAGTGAGCCATGATCTTCAGAAAGAATAAGCTATTCCTTTTTTACTGAGTTTATTACTGCCCTTCCTGGGTAATCTGATACCAGTTAAAGATAACTCTACCAACTGCTGCCTATCCACGCATACAGTAGCAGGAATGTTTAAAATCTAGTAAAAAGTAGAATTTGAAAAATTGCTATGAAGCTAAACATCTGTACCTAAGCTTGCATTTATACAAATTCTACTTACAAGTAAATGACCACTCAGTGCAATACACAAGTTACAGTTGAGTTTATTTTTGATTATCAGTCATGAAGCATTTTGGGGGAAAAATATTATGTGGTCTTTGTTATATTTTCTCTAATTGTAATTACTGAGCCAATACAAACATTATCCTATACCAATTAACAATGCAAGGCTATTCTGAGGATGAATTGAGTCATTTGAGGATGAATTAACAGCGGTTGTGTATTTTACAGCATTTGTTGAGTTTGATTTTTCTTCACCTTAATCAAGCAGAAGAAATCAATTCACTACAGATTAAATACTTTTTAACTAAAAAAACCTGTCTCTGCTTTAAGCTCACAGAAAAATATTTTCACATTGAGTTTTACTTAAGTTTATTTTCCCTAGGCATATCCTCTTCCATAAACTCATTCTAGACAGAGAATTGATAACATGTTGTTCATGCATGTTAGCTAAAGGTGTTTGTAAAACAAAAAGCAAACAAAACGAAGAAAATGTAGAAAAATGAAAGGTCATTTTCACAGAGGGTTAACTAAATTCCTTTTTATATGATTACATCTTATTGAAGTCAGAGGCTTGGGCACGAAAATTTCTTTGTAGACCTGGGTTATAGTTTGTTTTAGGCTGGCTGTTACTAGAGTTGACTACTTCACAGCACTCTCTGCAAGGAACTCGTCATTAAATTTTAGTTTGTTTTTTATTTTTTCATTGCTTAGGTGCAAGTGCTCATTTGCTGATAAAGTGTGCGTTTTTCTTCTTTCTTTTCCTATTACATTCAGGATTAATTCATAGGTGACCCTAGGAAAAAGGGCACAGGAAGCCAAGAGGTTTTTGATTGTTGGCAGTGACATCTGTGTCAGAAACTAAAAACATCACTTGCTAGGCAGTTTAGAGATCTGGGTGAACCATGCAGAAGGAGAGATTAAGGAACATTGTTTTTCTGAGCAAGGAAATGCCTACTTCAATTACAGCATTCTTGTGTAACACCCTTTGCTGAAAATATGTAGGCCGTCACATGGAGCCATTTGAGCCTTGGAGACATCTTAGCTTAGTAAATTGTGGTTCAGGAAAGTTGTTGTGAGAATTACTAGGCAATGTAAGCATGACCGAAGGCAAGCTTTACTGCCACGCTTCTACTATTTAGAGGTGGAGGTCTCACTTATCAAACAGGATGTACAACCTGTGTCTTCGAGAACACAACATGAACTTGCTATTTTACAGAAGATACAGACTCTTCCCTGTACCATGTGCAATCACACATCTTAATCAAACTTCCTCATCTTCAGCAGTGGGCTAGATTTACACCTAAACCTGAACCTAATCCCATCCTTTCTTACAACAAATCCTTTGGCTTCTCTGAGCCCCAATTTCTCTTCACAGTTTCAATGCCTTTGGGATAGTGGTGACAGCTTACCTTACCAAAGGAAGCAGTACAGTATGAGCGCAGCCTGTTTCTCTGCCAGTGGACTCTCGAGTTGCGTCACAATTGAATGACAAAAACACTATAATGGAAAATAGTGGCTTGGTGATGAAATTCACAGCATCTTCATCTAGAAGAAATAGCTTGAGTCCTCCAAACTTATTTGGCACTTGCTGAGAAACTACTCTTGATTATCATTCACTCGTGTTACATTTCAGACAGTGATCTAAAGATCTAAGAAATACCAAAGTTACACTTTTCTTCACTGCCACAATGCTTTGGCATTTGAAATACCAAACAATGGCTGTCTTGATTTAAATAAGGTCTGAAACGTGGATCACATGTGAATAAAAGATGCACTAGGAAATTCTTCATTACTTGCATCCCTATATTCCCAATCCTTACCACTGGTATTATCATTAATGTTGCTAATGGTATTAAGAGTCAACATTTATTTGGAAACCACAATTTACAAACTGTAACAAATTTAGCTAAAATTTATCAGTGGAACAGATAACAATTCCTCCAGTCACAAATGAAGTTACACAGCAAAGAACTACTTTGATATCCTCTGGGGAAAGGGTCTTTCCTGGTGCATTGCCTAATAACATTATGTGTGCTTTTCTTAAAATAAGCTTCTGGATACTCTTTAGGCTCTGACTAGGAAAAGTGGCCCCATCACAATAACAGCCAAAAGAGGAAAGAGTTCCACACAAAAGCTGGCTACATATCCAAAAGCTGAAATGCAGTAACTGCTGAAATATTTCATGGAAATGAAGCGTGCTGTGGGCTGTTCAAGTCCTCCTTTCCTTCATAAAAGATATCACAAGGACAACATGCTGTCATATCTGGTGCTAGCTAGAAATCTGAAATGAAAACCCATTAACTACTTGCTACATCTGCACAAACCCACTGACTTCAATCTCTTTTTTTTTTTTTTTTTTCAGAAGCTGACTGAATAGCATGTACTATGAGCAGAATCTGGTTTATTTTCTTTGGATGCTTAAGCTCATTCCCATTCTGGCCCTCTAAGTTCCCCAAGGTACAATTTGATCTGTTTAAAAAAAAAAAAAAGAGCATCAGCCTTTTTCTCTGTTGCTTATTCATGTTTCTCACTTTGCAGTAATTCAGCATGGTAAACAAACATCTTCTCTGTTATGTGTCGGTTTGAGTTCCAATTTCGGCAGTTTTGTAAAGTAAAGTTTTACACTCCCATCATAGTTAGGATAACTTCATTCCCTAATGGATACTTAACACATCTAATTACTCTATTTCTAAGCTACAAGCACTTTGATAAATGTTTCTGTTCTTTCGCTTCAGAAGCTTTCCAGCTGCAACATTTTCTACTGAATAAAACATTATCAGTGACTTTGCCCGTAAATAACACAGCACAAACACCAATGTAGTCACAACTGTATATAGTCATCTCAGAATTCCACTGGGGGTTTTCTAGTGACATCATAATAAACTAAATAATAAATAAACTAAAATGCTGAAGATATATTAAATTATAGTTTGGATATATTTAATATATATTACATACGATGAAAAACCTCAGATAATTCTCACAGCAATTTAAGCATTATTTTTTTAGACTACTTCAAAACCATAGGAGAAATAGCTTCAAAGCAGGATGCAGAAGATTACATATTCATAAGGAAAATCTGAATGACAGAATGCATCTTCATTTATTTTGCTTGCACAAAAACTCACGTTGCCGCCCAGTCTACATCAGTGTCTCACACTGTATTGGGAGCATTTCAAAGAGACTGGGAACAGCTGAAGGTTAGGCATCAAGAACTTAAGTGATGAGACAAAGAGGGTAAGAGGTTGATTCAACAACTGGAGTGAGGAAACTGAGTTTCCCTTAAAATCAGTGTTGAGATGGAGTATTAATCTGTTATCTTCCTGGAAAAAGAAATACAGCCAGAAGTGCCTCTTTACTAAAGCCACACTGTATTTTCCCAAAGAAGGATTCATGGGAAAGGCTAAGTTGGTCACTCTTGCATATCTGGGTATGCATAGCCTCAAGATTAGTGTTCAAGAATAGTGTTCTATTGTAAAATGACCAGCTGGTTCTTGGACAGCTTGGCTTACTGGTGTTTCTCTGTATTTAATAGTCTCTGATTTGACCCAGGAGGAAGGATTTAGGTGAGTGGTGGGACTTACAGCAACTTAGCACATTGTGTGCTGAGGGAGAGAAACTGGAGCACAGAAAGGAAAAGAAGAGAGCAGGACACCTAGAAAGATTTCTGTGGTGTGGAGAGATGAGATGACTGGGGGAAAAAGGGATGGAAGAATACCACAAAAAGATGAAGATAGTTGTGCTTGGGAGGGATGAAGAAAAAGAATCAAAAGACAGGGTAAAAAAAGAGAACAACTTGTTTGATTTGTACTGCGAGCACTCTGGAGTGGAAGTTGTGAAGACAACCAGTCAGTGTTTTTTTTTTTTTTTCCTATTACCACATTATTTGCCTTTGCAAAAAGGTGAATCGGCTTTGAGCTCCCCTACACTTGGAAGAAGCTCTAGGTCCCTCTTGTTCAAAGAGTTAGAGTACCATTACTGTACACTGCATTTGAACAGAAAGCATAGCCTAAAAACACATACCAGTAATTTGTATTTTTCCACTTCAGATACTGATACTCTAGTCATCTCAAACTCAGTTACTTCTTTCAAAACATGGTATGTGTACATACATATGCATGTCTATGTGCCACTGAACAGTATGTGCCAGAAGTCAGCAATTCTGATGTTAAAGTGTCTCCAGAGGGGAAGTACTATGGAATACTCGAAGGCTTTGTTATGCTGTTTCATTAGCTTCCGAACAATTACTGAGGAGAGGGTTAACATTTTTCCCCTTTCTCACATTTAACTAGAGCATTCATACCCTTCCATGTGTACATATACATATTTATGCATCCTTCTTTTCCCTCAGTTTATCAACTTACTGGATAGAGTTCTCAATGCGCGTGATGGTGAGGAAAGCAGCTAGGTTTGCTGTGTAGGAGGAAATGACAATCAAAGCAAAAAGCCACCAAGCCCCCATCATCAGTCGTGTTGCCAGGGTTGTATAAGGGACTTCTCCTCCTGTGGAAAAGAAGGAAAAGCGAGAGTTGTAATTTGGCAGAAGGAAACCCAGATCTTCATTACTCAAGCTGTGTGCAGGAGACCTCGGGTCAGCAGGGTGCTTGCTTTCATAAAATTAGCAAAATCTTTGAGTCGTGCTTTCTACGCACTGAATGTAGTAAAGGAAAATCACAGTCAGCTATCATTATCATATTTAATCTGCTTTGCTACTGCATCTTTAATTGCAATTCATCTGCCTATCCTATTCAGTAATGGAAGTCTCAACTTCAAGATCTCAGAACAAAGAGAAGAATAAATTCTCAAAATGTTCTTTCCTTAGACAGCTTATACACAGGCCTTAATCGAGTTTTTCTTGAGTTCTGTGGAATATAAAGTTAAACCTAACCCATCAAAACACAATTATTTTTCACACTTCTGTAGGCAAACAGATGCTCAGAAGATCCATACGTATGTGTACCACTTGCTTCAAGACCACCAGGACTTGACAAAAGATCACGTGCTGAAAAAGAGCCCAAAACTACTTTGTGTTCCCACAGTTGCTTTTCCACAGAATTTAAACGGCATGCAAACAAAACATTCGCAGCAGTTAAATCTACCAGTGCTTTGGTGGCTCACAAGATCTGAGATGCTCACTACAGCCTGTGCAGACAGAGCCCTTTTTAGCAAACCATGAAAAACTTTATATGTTATGCAAATAGCTGCTCCCAAACTATAAAATCTTTAGAGCACTCTTTTAGTTAATAATGTGCAACACAGATTTTTAGATTTAAAGAAAATGAATTTTTAAAGATATCCATTTTGTCTGTAGTATAAGTAGCTGTACCAAAACAAGTGCCTAGGTGGGACAGGTGAATGCACCAAACATCCCCAGTAAACTGCTGAAGAAATTCACCCTTTCTCTCTCTCTCCCTCTCTCTCTCTCTCTCTCTCTCCATACTCATCACTTTAAAAGGTATTCATTATGTTCAGGGAGTTTTCCCAGACGCAAAAATCTTATGACTTGACTGTGTAACAGAATGCATATGCAATGCAGCTTGTTATAGATTCAATCACCCACAAGTGTTTTGTACTTGATACTTCTGTAAAAACTTCTTCCTTTTTTCCCCCCACTAAGTAAATTTATTGTAATTTTTTTCCCCATTACTCTTACCCTAAACAGAAGCAATTTTCAGTTGTGAACACAAATTACCAAGATATTTACTCAGTTCTAGAATATGACACACCACCTTGGGGACTCTGCATCACCAAACAAATGTGAAGCTTTTTTTCTACCTCAGTAATGTGAAGTTCTGCCACAAGCTAAACAGTAACTGATTTCATTTAGTTATATTTACAGTATATAAATATTCAAATCTTTGCCTTTTAAGAACTCCAGCTTTGAAAGAAAAAAAAAAAAATCTATTATCCCTCTGCAGTCAGAAATAAATTTTTTTCTATCTCCCAGATGCCATGTAATTATCTTAAACAAGAATCTTCCAATCAGGTCAGGAGCTATTGCTTTAATATTAAGACTTTCAAAGATGAACATAAGCTTCAACACCTAAAGATTTGTTTGTTTTTTGTCTCCTGCACAAGTTTTAAGCAATTTTTAATAGAAAGCCTCCACTCCACAACACTTGTTTTCTGAGATATCTTTGGAATATTTCATTTAAAAATGTTTTTCAATCAAATGAAAAGAGGTTTTATCAATTCATTTGAACAGGCTGTTTGTCCTTTCAACTTTCAGGCGCCAATCCCTGCAGATAATCTTTAAGTTGAAATGGGTAGAATGAGAGGAGAAACCAATGATCTCCTGGGCATCCTTGCATTTTCATTTTATAGTTTAATGAGTAGTTCTCATTTTAAGTTCTCATGTTTTTTATTGAAGTGAAGTATCAGAAAAGAGAGGACTACTGAAAGTTACACACCTACCTCCTGGGCACAGCTCAAGTTTCCAACTGATGATGCTGTTCAGCCAGCAATTGTAAAATCTGTAACAGATCCCTCAGTAATAGAGTTTGCTTTTGTTCATACAGTCAAGTTTCACGCAGGGGGAATGGTCCCCACCATTCACTGTTACCTTTTCTTTATTAATATCATTGTTAGCAATGGACTTAAAGTGACAGTCAGCGTTGCTTTCCCAGGTTGTTTAGTTCAACCTGATGTGCACTTATACCTTGTGTAGGAGCAGTCAACAACTGAAAGTTGAAGACAAAGCTTGAATGTGACTACAAGAAGCACGGAAAAATAATTCAATGCTCAAAAAAATCTTTGCACTGATACTTCTTAAACCATTTCTAAAGCAGGTCTCATGCTGCAGCTGCGTGGGAAAATGATCTCAAATCATTATAGGTAGCCTCCTCCAACTCTCCCAGTGAAAAACAAAACAAAACAAAACTTAATAGAATCATAGAATTGTTTGTGTTTGAAGATCCTTCGAAGGTCACCTAGTCTAACTTCCTGGCAATGAACAGGGGTACCTACAGCTAGGTCAGGTTGTTTAGAGCCTGGTCCAGCCTGGCTTTGAGTGTCTCTAAGGCTGGGACATCCACCACATCTCTAGGCAGCCTATTCCAGTGCTTCATTACTCTTATGATAAAAAATATTCTTCCTAATATTCAACATAAATCTCCCTCTAAATGTGAAACCATTTCCCCTTGTCCTATCACCATAGGCCTTGCTAAAGAGTTGGTCTCCTTTCTTATAGCTATTTGTTAAGTTCTGAAAAGCTGCTCTCAGGTCTCCCTAGAGCCTCCTCTTCCCCAGGACAAACAGCCCAAGTTCTCTCAGCCTGTGGTGTTCCATCCCTTAGGTCACTTTTGTGGCCCTCCTCTGGATGCACGTGCTCCAACAGGCCCACAGCTCTCCTGTTCTGAGGATAGCCTATCTGGATGTAGCACTCCAGGTGAGGTGTCATCAGTGTAGAGTAGGATAACTTCCCTTGACCTTGTGGTCATGTTTCTCTTGATGCAGCCCAGGATACATTCAACTGTTTGAGCTGTGAGGACATTGCTGGGTCTTGCCCATCTTGCTATCCACCAATACCCCTAAGTTCCTGTGAGCAGGGCTGTGCTCTGTCCTAACATCCCCCAGCTTCTATTGGTATTAGAGAGTTGTGATGACCCAGGTGCAAGACCATGCACTTGTATTTTTTTGAACCTCATAAAATTTACCTGTGCCCACTGCTCAAGCCTGTCTAGGTTCCTCTAAATGGCATCTCATCCCTTACGTGTGTCAACCACACTACACAGCTTGGTGTCATCTGCAAATTTGCTGAGGGTGCACTCAATCCCTCTGTCAGTGTCATTGATGAAGACATTAAAGAGCATGACTGGCCATCAAAATCACTAGCTATAGCTATTGCTTTACTGTTACAGTATAATTTATTTGACATCTAGTAGGAGAGCAAATGCCATACAGTCTTGCTCTATTGTGTTGCTTGTTACAAGACTTATCGTACTATGACAGCTCACCTTAAGAAACATCTTCATCCCAGTTTGGTTTCTAGATAAAATTCTCTATAGCTTTTTTTTCCCAGCATAAATTTACATGTTTCTTCATGCTGAAGAGCACCAAGTCAGTCAGGAGAGTAGCAACAGCTGGTTTTCCATTAATGTTACTGTGAAAAAGAGTTACAGATCCTACAGTTGCCGTTCTTGACTGTAAAGTACCATGTATGCACACCACCTAGGGCTCTGCTTTGTGAAAATATTCCCAGTATCTAGTATAGATTTCATGTATATGTATAATGGATCACAGCCTATACTTATTAGGAGTGGCTACACACGTGACAGATACACACATACAGAGTGCAAGGGAGGAGGCACCAAGAAGAGCATCCAATCTTTCTGCTGCTGTCTTTTATACTATGCCAGCAAAAGCTTCAAAACCCAAAATGGCAAAGGGGTCTAGCTGCTGTCATGCAATTATGTTGGTGACGAGCGTAAAACCTGTCCTACTGTACCTTATACCCATAGCAAAATTCATCCACAGTGTTAACTGCACCAAAAAGACTACTATTGTAGTATTCTGAGTAACTCCTAAAACTACTGAGTTCCTTTCATGACAAATCGAAATTAAAAACAATACTCAGCAATCCTGATACTTGGTATAGCTAAGGGATAGGTCTCAAACACAGATGCTGTATTCTTCTTTAGAGTTGTCCCTTTCAATACCCCTGCAGTACACAGAAGGGCTTAATGGAACACAAAATGCCACTACCTGTAGATTACGTGTTGAGGCTACAGTTTCCAGTACAATTCACTTGACACTTTTGTTGTACACTGAGAATAATTTCAAAACCTAAAATTGCCTTTAAAATTTACAGACTGCATGTGCAGAAAAAAATATTTTCTAAAGTAAACTAAGCTACCAAAAAGCAATCTCATTTGAAGCTTTCCAAAACTGATTTACCTTAGAAGTGACAGTGAAAGCAATTACTTTTAGTCCTTCCACTCTCATCTAATGCAGTTCTCCTTCATTAACCCTAAACTAACTTAATGCTGGCCTACTTCAGACAATAGGCTTATACTAGAACTTAGGAATTTTTGTTTATTTTCATTTCCTTCCAGGAGTTTTAAACTAGCTATCAGCAGGCAAGAAAACAACACGGAAAAGGTCTAAACAACACGAACAATGTAACATAATTATATCAGACCTAAAAGAATAGACAAAAAGGCACAAGGTGACAAAACGTACGTACACAATTCTGTACAGATTTCTAATTCCTTTTAAATCATTCTTCCCCAATAAAGTTTAAATTAAAAACTGTAATACAGGATTATAGATGGATTTAATAAAGTAGTTATTTATTACAATTATTTTTACTATGACTAAAGCAAATAATTTGGAAGCCTAGCACTCATAACGCTTAGAAAACATGCAACTGATCTGTAGTTAAATAAGTGTGCCTGTTTCAACTACAGCCCTAGCTTGAGTAGCTCTACATGATCTGCCATGGTTGTTAACCATTTATCTTTTGTCAGTCATTCTCCCTTAGGTTTGAATGATTTCAACTTTTT